GGGGTGGGGTGGGCATGGGGGAGAAGTGTAAATTGTAAACCACTGCAGGGATTAAGGATTCCGTGCAAGTGAATCCATTGGCGGAGAATTTTTCTTTGCAAAAAATGGTTTGTTTACTCTTCCATTTTAATACTCGGTCTATCTCAAAATACTTATTCACTTTCGAATTGACACACTTATTATAAAAAAAATAAAAAAATATGATGAGTTTTTCATTTTATTTATATTAATTATGAAGTTGATAAATTAAAAATTTAAGATTTTCAAAAAGTTCTACATTTTCCAAAATAATTAATTAGGGCAGAAGACCGATATCCTTTTTTTGATTTGTCAAAATGAAGAAGTAAAAAGAGACAAATAATTACTTCTTGTTTCTGTTTACCGATAAAAGTTGTTCGCATGGTAAACACTCTTCTTTTCATATTTAAAAGTATGAGTTCGAATCAGCAATGAATCAAAAGTGGAAGCTCAGAGAGGTAAAAAGAAAACTTTTCTTTTCTATTTATTTTTGTTAGTCATTTTTGAATTTGATACGCTTATTAAAAATAATGTTGATTGACATTATTATTTTATTATATTATCTCTATTAATTAATATTTAATAGGACAATTTTAAAAAATATCAAATATTAGATCATAGAAATGATTTAGAAATAAGTGATTAATGTTAATAATACATGATTTTTTTACTAATACTTATTATTTTTTTCTTTTTCTTAATATATTATGAGTGTCAAGTAAAAACAAAATCTATTTATAAAATAGTGAGCAAGTAAAAATCGTATATTTTCTTTGTTTCATTTTACTCGAAATAAGTAATTTGTATAACTGTTTAAAATTCAAATGTTTGTATTTGTATAAATTTGTTATTTTCAGTTTATACAAATGTACCACGTGAATTATACAAACTCACTTGCGAATTATACAAATGAGACAACTTAAAATGTAGATACAACCCGTAAATATGCAAATAGTAGCTATGAAGCATGATTAAGTTTATTGTAGTGGCTAATTGCGAAAATTTCCCTAAATATTAAGTCTTGAAAAATGTAATACGGAAATAACTATAATTAATGATAATGGTAAATTAGGAACTAAATGTAAAATAATTCATTGATTTCATAAAATAGATAAGTATTGTTGGACCTCCCAAAATAATATAGTGGACAACTATTTTTGGATGGAGTATGAAATGAAGAAAATAGTATTTGTATGTACATTAATTTGCTACTCTCTTCCATATTATTTTATCACATTTCTCTTCTTTATATATATATATATATATATAATATTTATTATATGTGCGTTGCACAAATTTCTATAACTTAATTTTAGTGAATTACTTATATTTTTATTTTTAAGATTAAATAATTATAATAAATTAGTACGTGTGATTTTATATAAATTTAGTGTACGAATAATTATTTTGCCTCTTATAAAAGAAAAGAAATGAATTAAACTTGACTTAGGTGGGGTACGTAATGACCAGGTCCCCCACTAACTCCATGTGTTATGCTTTGAGCCAAAAAATAATTACCATAAAAAGCCAATCACCATACCCCACTTACCATTATTGTGCTTTAATTAGCTGGCATTGGGCCATAAATTATTATTTTTTAAATATAAAATTATATTTAATTATATTTTCATACAAATAAAAAGTTAGTAATATCAAAATTACAACAACATATTTAGCATTATCATATTTTACCCTACCTTAAAAGTAAATAGAATATTTTTAATTGACAACATATGCATTGTTATTTTTTTCTTAATGCATTTTACCAAACGATTCTCTTTTTTTTTTTTAAATTGATGAGAAAAAGAGAAACTTTTTGTGAGAAAATGAATACAAGCAAATATTATAATCAATTATTTCTTTTCCTAAATAACATTTTTATTGTACATCGTAATCAATCAAATAATATCATTATTGCTTCTTTTTTTTTTTCTAAATAATATTTTTTATTGTGTATTTGATATTTGTTAGTTGTATAATACAATTTGCTTGAAATATTGTCTTAAGTTGCTTTGGTTGAAATTTTTATTTGCTTGCCGCCCTTAGTCTTTTTTTATGCTGATATATGCTTTCATCTGCTAAGTGGAAGTTTAAAGTAATCTAATCTGTTTTTATATCCTACTTACTTCAGTTTTTTGTTCCATCGTAAAATTATCAAAAAATAGAAATAAATTATATGGTAAATGTATCTAATTAAAAAGGACTTAATTTTTGCAGGGTGACCAATGGATAAAAAGAATTTGCACATTGTCGTTTGGGATATCTTTTTGTATAATAATAGTTAGAAAATAAAAAAGGAGGCTTGGACATACAAGTGTAAATAAATAATTTGGTCATACTTGCAAAAATTGAATTTAAATAGCCATCAACTTAAATGACATTGTGACTAATGTGATTGGGGTAAGTTCTTTCAAAATAAACCTATATCCAAGTGATTACCTAAGCAAAATGTATCTTTATTTCTAAAAAACAATAAATTAAAGTATCACGAAATCTAAGGACATTTTTTCTGAGGGCATAAAATTGAATTTGGGTACGTAATAGAAGATTGATCAACTTTTGATTTGATTATTGGTGAGGTGACGAGTCACTAGATGATAAAGTTAATGTTGATGTTAATCAGATCGACATATTTATTAAATATCTAACGTGTTATTGGATAAAGTATAAAAAAATTCTTTGATTAATAATTTTCTTCACTTATCTAACTGAATTAATGGTATTTCATTTTCTCCTTTTTTCTCATAGTATTGTTTTTACATATACGATTACTTGAATTCATATTATTAAAAGTAAATTTAATATCAGATAGACATATGATAATATTACTCATGCAATTAGACATGGACTACCATATGAAATTTTTTCCTTCCAAGGAAGATAAAACACTTCATATGAATTGTTAGTCGTAATAAAATTATGTCAAATATGCTTAGATTCACCAAAATAATAATAATAATAATAATAATAATAATAATAATAATAATAATAATAATAATAATAATAATAATAATAATAATAATAATAATAATAATAATAATAATAATAATAATAATAATAATAATAATAATAATAATAATAATAATAATAATAATAATAATAATAATAATAATAATAATAATAATAATAATAATAATAATAATAATAATAATAATAATAATAATAATAATAATAATAATAATAATAATAATAATAATAATAATAATAATAATAATAATAATAATAATAATAATAATAATAATAA